CACCCCGCACCTACCTCACCCTCTCCTAGTAATAATTTATGCGCTTTAATTTATTATGTTATAATCAGTGAACGCCCCCCACTTTGTAGGATTTCAGAGCATATTAATTACTGGATTGTTCATTAGGTTGGACGATATTTTTTAAAAAATGTGCACAATATCTCAATTTTAGATTAATTGTGAAACGTTTTATTATAGAAATAAATATAAAATGAAGTCAATTTTTAACAGAGAAAATAGTGTTTAATCTTTAATGTATAAATAAAAATAATATTCAGAAAGTAACAGTTTATTAAGTAGGAGTTAAATAAAAGCTTGGTGTAAACGTTTGCGATTGTAGTTGGTAACACTTGCAGGTGCCGGTCAGTGGGGGCGTACTCGCCGAGTGCGGGCCTGTGGAGCGTGCGGTGCGCCGCGGCGGAGTGGCTGGCGGCGCGCGACGGCGCCCCCGCCAGCGCACACGACATCTATCTCGGATCGGGCGCTACCGACCTTATCAAGGCACTCCTCACCATGTTCCTAGAGGACGTGAATGGAAAGCCTTCTGGTGATTTCTTTCTTGTCTAGTCAGTGTCTAGTAGTTAGAAGTTAACTTGTTGACGTTAATACGAGTATGGCCAAGGCGCGCATTAATCTGCAATCCGTCCAAAATTTTACTGTGTAACACGGAGTGATATGTCGACGTTTGTCGCAGGTGTGATGATCCCGATCCCGCAGTATCCACTGTTCTCGGGCGCGCTGGCGGAACTGGGCCTGAAGCAGGTGGATTACTACCTGGACGAAGAGCGAGGATGGGCGCTCGATGTGGCTGAGCTGCGCCGCGCTCTGTGCGATGCCAGTGCCACTTGCCGCGTGCGCGCGCTCGTTGTCATCAACCCCGGCAACCCAACCGGACAGGTTAGAAACAGCATGGCTCATGAAAACAACAACTATGGGCGCTTAATGCCCGTAGCTGTCCAACTTAAGGTCATTATATGTTAATGAAAGTGAGTGCTGCAGGTGCTGACGCGGGAGAACATGGAGCAGGTGGTGCGGTTCGCGCACGAGCACCGGCTGTTCCTGCTGGCGGACGAGGTGTACCAGGAGAACATCATCGCCAAGCCCTTCCACTCATTCAAAAAGGTTACTATTATGATCGATCACCTCTATTACTTCATCTATTTTACTCGACGGACTACATGTAGGTACGAAGGTAAGAAGAGCTTATTTAGCTCATTTGAACTAAACATAAAATTTATTAAACTATCTTTAGCTATTTTAACGTACGATTGTGTGGTTGAGGTGATGTACGAGATGGGCGCGCCCTACTGCGACATGGAGCTGGGCAGCGTGTTGACGTGCTCCAAGGGCTGGGCGGCGGAGTGCGGGCTGCGCGCCGGCCTGCTCGAGCTGGTTCGCGTACAGCCCGATGTGGTGACCGCCTACCGCACTGCGCGCGCGCTCATGCAGTGTCCCACCGTACTTGGCCAGGCCGCGCTGCTCTGCGTCGTGAGTTCATTCGTCGTCACACATATCGGTGATTCGGTATTGCGGTAAGAAGGTAATTAATTATTTACGTTTTGTATTGCACATCGTAGATGAAGCCGCCCGAACCCGGGGATGCTTCGTACGAGCAGTTCGCGGCGGAGCGGCGTGACATCAGGCGCGTGCTGCGCGAGCGCGCCGCCACCGCACATCGTGCCTTCAACTCCATCCCGGGCTACTCCTGCAACGCCATCGATGTATGTCGCACCGCGCCCTCCGCATCTTAAGCATCGAGTGAAATAAAATACTGATCTGGGTAAAATTGACGTGTTTTAGGGATCAATGTTCGCGTTTCCGCGCTTTGAGATCCCGGAAAGGGCGCAGCGGGCGGCGCACGCGCTGTCCATCGCGCCCGACGAGTTCTACTGCCTGCGCCTCTTGGAGGAAACCGGTGCGTGTACACCCTCACACTGAGGCTACCTAATGAACTGATCGATTGGAGATCAGAAAGATTATTTTATTACCTTAAAGACATTTTTGTTATTTGACTTTATACATTTCGCAAAGAAAAATCTTCCTTAATACTGTCAATATAAATGCGAAAGTTTAGATAAATGGATGAATGTTAGAAACTATAATGTGTGCTATGTATGCGTCAGGGGTGTGCGTGGTGCCGGGGTCGGGGTTCGGTCAGCGGCCGGGCACGTACCACTTCCGCACCACCATCCTGCACCCGCGCCACCAGCTGCAGCACATGATGGACTCCGTGCGACGCTTCCACGCCAACTTCCTGCACCAGCACTCTGATACTACTCACACCGACACCGGCTGCTGATATCTTATTTTCTTATAATAATGTTAAATTAATATTCAATATGTTTTAATAATATTTATAGTTATGTAGGTAACATATGTTATTTATTTACTGTGATATTTTACTTACTAGGTTCATAAATACAATGAAACTGATTGAACTAACTTATGTATGTACATTACTTTGAGTTTTAAGTTGTGTTCACGAGCAAATAAAAAGTGCAATATTGATAAAAATATAAGTTTCGTTCTAAAAGAACTAGATGGCGCTGCGCTATTTAAGTGCACGCTAGCGTTTGATTTTACTGTTTTGTTGTGATTGCGCTTAACGCTAATTAAATGACTCATCCACCCGACCTTTTTTGTATCATTTATTGTCAAGGGTCCCGGGGCTTTTTGGGTTCCTGTACATGGTCCATTCGATAGCCGGATGTCGGCATTGTGGACAGTTGGCAGTATTCATGTACAGTTCCACCGCACCATTGAGTTTGGTGCACGTATAATTAACGGGCAACATTGAGCCGTGCGTCTTCTGAAGTTTGAAGACAGTGTCCCATCCCGAGCAAGTCGTTAGTGCGGAGAGGCCGCACTAACAACACCGAAGCAGTGCAACTGGAGCAGCGCGGGGAGCACCTCCTCGTCCGCCGTCACCTGCGTCGTACGTCATTGAAGTGTCATAGTGTGAGTGTGTTGTGTTGCGGCTACCGTGTTACCAGGCAAACTGTGAGTACTTTATATTTATAATTTAGAAGTGAACAATTTGAACCTTATTGCTTAGAAGAAAATTACTTAGTTTAATTTGGATAAAAATAATTAATGCATGCAAAAATATTACAAGTGTAGTTTAGGACTTAGAATAATTTAAGAAAAAGTGTTCAGACGGGGAATCCATGCCCGATTTCATATAGAATTATAACGTTTCAAACACTTAGAAAATTTTACTGAATACTGGACTTAGATTATTTTATAGAATACGGGACTTAGAAAAATTTTGTTGAAATTTAGACTTAGTAAAATTTAATTGATAATTCCGTTACACTTGTGATTTTTAAATAATTTTTAAACTTGTAAAATTTTTGCATTTGATTTTGCATTTAGTGTTTTTTACCTACTTTGTATATCTACGTGATTTTGATTGTTTATTTTGTTATTTGTTTTTTTTTTGTTTGTGTTGTGTATTAGTGTTTTGTGTTTAAGTTTTCCTTCACATTTAATATTAATTATGGATCGTTTGCTCAAATGTCAGGAGGATCTTAAATCCAGAATAGTTAAAAACAAAACAAATTTCGGCAAACAGTCAAAAGATAGGATAACATTGTCAAATGTCGAAACGCGTTTAGATAATTTGGAGGAATGTTGGACATCGTTTAAAGAGGGTCATCAGAGGATCATTTTTGAATCGGAAGGCACAGAGTTCGAATCATCTGATTATTATAAATCAGATCGCTTCGAAGAAGTTGAGGAGATTTACATCGAATTCAAATCGAAATTAAAAGGAGCTTTGGCAAATTTGCGGGCGACTACGCTAACAACGCAAACTTCGAAAAGCGAAGCCAAAGTTTCCTATGTACGCCTACCGAAGATCGACATCCCAACTTTTTCGGGCAAGTATGTAGAGTGGACTAGTTTTAGAGATCTGTTTGTGTCTCTCATTCACAATAACCCAAGTTTGGACGATGTGCAACGACTTCATTATCTAAAGAGCCATTTGCAAGGTGAAGCCGAGCAATTATTACGACATATTCCTATCACGGCCGATAATTACACTACCTGTTGGGCCCAGTTGGAAAGTAGATATAACAATAAAAAGTTTTTGGCCAATTGTATTTTAAAAAGATTCATGAACCAAAGGAACATCACTGTTGAGTCTTCAAGTGCCATTAAGGAATTACTTGACATAACGAACGAATGTTTACATGCACTTGAAAACTTAGGGGTTGACGTTACCTCCTGGGACATACTAGTTATTTATATTGTCAGCCAAAAACTCGATCCAGAGTCACGCAAACTATGGGAAAATTTAATTAACGATTGTTCAAATAAATTGCCAGAACTAAGTCAATTAAGAACATTTTTAGAGAATAGGTTTCGGGCACTAGAGTGCCTAGGTTCAAATGTTGTTGATAAGCCAGGTAACACAAAGCCAAAAAAGGCCACAGCATTGCATGTGACCGCACCTCACAATGCCAGTTGTATATTTTGTACTGACAAGGGACACAAATTATTTAATTGTAAGAGATTTGCTCAAGAAGACGTAGACAATCGGCGTAGTTTCGCCCAAACCAGTGGACTGTGCTTTAATTGCTTGAACACAGGTCATTCTGTGTACACCTGCCGGCAACCCACAAAATGTCATCTTTGTCGCAGAAGACATCACACCCTTCTTCATCCTAAAAGTATCCCGAGATCTGATAATAGTAGTCCAGGTCAGCCTATTGGTAGCGATGTTGTTGCATCAGAAGCAGCGTCATCTACAGCGGGTGAGTCCACACGTGCTATGACGTGTTTCGCCAAGGCTAGTACCCACGTACTCTTGGCCACGGCCTTGATAAATGTAGTGTCGAGAACTGGATCTTTGATTTGTTTAAGATCCCTGTTAGACCAGGGGTCTCAGGCTTCGTTCATATCGGAGTCCGCGGTCCAGTTATTGGGATTAAAGAGACATCCCATCAAAACTGTTGTCTCAGGTCTAGGCGGTGACCCACAAGCATCTTTGTCCTGTAGGTTCATGGTCTCCATGAAAATTCAGTCCCGCCACGACCCCAGTTTTGTCATATCTATCAAGGCGTATGTTCTGAACAAAGTGACGTCTCTCTTGCCTGATAGGAAGATAGTCGTCCCGATGTTGCCTTCACTATCTTGTGAAGTTTTAGCTGACCCTTCGTTTGGCACACCCAATAAAATAGATGTTCTATTAGGTGCCGAGGTTTACAGCCAAATTCTGTTGCAAGGGTTGATTAGGGGTCCACCGGGCTACCCTCTTGCACAGAACACTAAATTTGGCTGGATCCTTTCTGGTGAAGTTGAAGAAGCAGGCGCCCAGTTGGAAACGTGTCATAACGTTGTTGTTAGTTTGCACTCAGCTCATTCAGATGAGAGTGAGCTCCTACGGAAGTTCTGGGAGTTGGAGTCCGACCAATACGATATTGAGAAAAAATATTTAACGGAAGAAGAGCAGTTGTGTGAAAAGTTGTTCGCGGAAACGACACGTAGAGACGAATCTGGTCGTTACGTGGTTAGTTTACCCTTTCGCACACCGGATCCGAAATGCAAATATGGTCACTCGAAACAAATTGCCCAGAAAAGGTGTCTTATATTAGAAAAGCGGTTTTTACGAGACCCTGACATGAAGAAAGAGTATGTCAAGGTCATCAAGGAATACTTGGACCTCGGCCATATGGAGAAGGTCGAGGATAAAGAAAAGACTGATGCGGTGTATTTATCACATCACGCAGTAGTGCGAAATGACAAGCTCACCACCAAAGTGAGAGTTGTTTTCGATGCATCGTGCACGGGAACCAATGGTGCGTCGTTGAATCAGGATCTGTTGGTCGGTCCAACTCTTCAACTTGAGTTGCGTCACATCCTGATGAATTGGCGCCAGTTTCCAATATGCCTCGTTGCAGACATCATTAAGACGTACAGGCAAGTTAAGGTGTCTGAGACGGATGTTGATTTTCAACGAATCCTATGGCGTCAAAACCCAGAAGATGAGTTGCAGCATTTCCGTCTTCTCCGTGTAACCTTCGGCACATCATCGGCACCATACTTGGCAGTGAAATCCTTACAGCAGATTGCACACGATGAGGGAGCTGATTTTCCTCTTGCGTCAAACCGTGTGTTGAAGGACTTCTACGTCGACGATTTGATGACAGGATGCCAGAATGTCGAAGAAGGTATTAAGATCTACTACGAAATGAAGAACTTGCTTGGTCGTGGAGGATTCGAGCTTCAGCGATGGTCTACCAATAATTCCGAATTATTGGATCATATACAGGAAGACCATAGACAAGCAACCGGAGGACACCTGGAACTTAAAACAGACACGGTTAGTAAAATTCTAGGACTTACCTGGAATAGAAGCTCCGACGAATTCGAGTACACCGTAAATCTTCCTCCTTTGGAAACTCCTGTAACGAAGCGCAGAGTTATTTCGGACATCGCGAAATTGTTTGACCCTCTCGGATGGATAGCTCCAGCCATAATAACAGCAAAGGTTTTCATACAAAGATTATGGCTGTCGGGCATCGATTGGGATCAGGAACTCCCTTCATCACTGATGAAGGATTGGCTTAAGTATAGAGAAGAGCTAAACCACCTTATCCAGATGTGGAAGCAAGGCCCGGAGTTCTTGAAACAGAAAAACATTGATTATAAAAGAGAGATTGCGGATACTACAATTGAAGAAAGAAAGTTAAAATGTTACACCACTACAAGCACCACAGCAGAGAGTAGTATACTTACCAAGTATTCATCGTTAACGCGACTTACCAGAGTTGTCACTTACTGTAGAAGGTTTTTGTCTCCAAAATCATCGGGTACACTGAAAGCTTAGGAGCTGGGACAATTGAATACCTGCATAAAATTGTGTCAACGGCACCATTTCCAGGAAGAGATAGATAATCTGAAGAAGCATGGCAAAAGGAACAAAAAAAGTAGACTTACCTTCGTTGGTAGCGCGAAGAGACTGAAGGCAATGTTCAACACAGAGAGGTCTACCATAGCAGCTGAAATTGCCGAGTGGTGTGCTACAAACAGTACAGAGTGGCACTTCATTCCTCCGCATTCTCCGAATTTTGGAGGACTGTGGGAGGCAGGAGTGAAGTCCACCAAGCACCATCTCCGTAGAATAGTAGGCAATAGCACACTGACGTTCGAGGAGATGACAACTTTGTTGTCTCAAATTGAAGCCTGCTTAAATTCGAGGCCAATCTCTCAGTTACCGACATACCCGGATGATCCATATCCACTGACTCCTGGTCATTTTTTGGTGGGGGAACCACTAGTCGTTGTTCCTGTTAGAAATTACGGAGACACAAATATTTCATCATTGAAGAGGTGGCATCTTACGCAGCGCATGCTT